TATTTATGAAAAAACGCGTAGAAGTAGAAAAATAATAACTCTTATTTAATATTATTATTCTAATTATGTATCATGCCAAGACATTTTATTAGAGCAAGAGAAATAATTCACATTATTTAGACTCATTGGTAGCTAATTTCAGCATGTTGCGCATAACTATTTTTCTTTATTAATTGTAGATATTTGTTTTGGTATGATATGCAATAGTCTTATAAATTAAACTTATTGGGTAATGTTAATTTGAAAGTATGTTGTCATCATCTTGACATGTAATTTTTTGCGATTTTGATAGCGAATATTTGTTTCTAGTGTTAAAAAGTTTGCAAAATCTTTTACCAAAAAAACAAAGACAGCATTTGATATATTGACTTATTTGAAAATGTTGAATTGCTTTCCAAATACATTTATTAATATAGAATACTATTGATAATTCATGTTATTGTTGTATCTTCCCAAAGAAGTTTTTAAAAATTGAAATTATTAAAATCTTATTTGCGATCAACCATGTTACAAGAACGATTGAATGAACTAGCTTTGGTATCTATTGAACAAAATTTGCCGGAACATATTGATTATGAAAGTTTAATTAGTGACTTTGCTTCTAAAAGTGTGAGAACAAATATTGTTACATGATTTGGAGTATTTTATGGTTAACATGCGGTATTTGTTGTATTTGATTTCAAGGTTTGCTCATATGAAATTTCACGAAGAATTTAGTGGCGTAGATGGTTTTTTGTTCATGATATATTTTTTGTAATGAAATTATTCATTGGAATATTTTTTTAATTGATGCAACTGAAAGTTATAATCAATTTCATTCTAATTATTTTATATGTTGATTATTATTATTATTATTATTATTATTATTATCATCATCTAGTTCCAGTGCTACTATACCACCGATCTAGCTGATCACACTTTATAGATAAATAAATCATGTAATATTGTATTTAAGTAAATATATTATTTAATATCGTGCCGTTACCACTTAAATTAGTGCTTAACACCGTGATACCAGATAGCATTACTCTAATTGTTAAGCATCATGTTCGAATTTTATATTAGTTTCCAAGAGCGAATNNNTTTATATTAGTTTCCAAGAGCGAATCATGTATGGGTATTCAATCTTTTTGTGATAATTTGGTTGTATGTAAAGTTCAAAGGAGATTTATACTCCCTTTATTAGAGGATATATTTGATTTTTCTTTTTCGTCTATCCAAAATTATAAATCACTTTTCTTTTCGAGTGTATGGTAAGTTTCTTAATTTTCTAATATACTCTTATTTAATGTGCATTGTTATTAACAAATATGAATTACTCTTATTTAAACTATTATTTAATGTAAGTAGTACTAGATTTTCCATTTTAAACACACTTTTGATAATATAAGCCCCTGGTAGCCATTTTTTGGGGAAAAAAAATATTGTTTTGAATAGTGAATTTTTGGAAAATGTGCAGTTAAAAAGTATGGAAATTTTTTGAATTTATGAGTAAAATATTTTATTGTGTGAATGTATAGTTTAAATATAGTTGAAAATGTGTATGCAGAAATAAGAGTTTTGAAAGAATGGGGGACAAACGGACGCTAACATCTCTCTCTCTATTCTCTCTCATTTCCTCCTCCTTCCCCTCTTCTCTTCTCCTCCTCTTACCTTTTACCATTCTCCTATAGTTTTGGTTCTTGTTATGAGCGTCCGTCATCAAAAGGCCCAACAAAACTTGAAATATGCGTGGTAATGATCTAAGAATAGCCCTTTCATTGAATCTTCTTCGGAGGAAAATTAATGAAATCTTTTTTAGATCAAACATTCCATGGCCATGTCCCTCCAAAAATCTTATTTGTGCAGATTCCTTTGCCAACTAAGAAAGTGAATGTCTCTATGCCAGATTGTCCACTTAAACCGGGGAATTGATTTTAAACATTGATATTCGATGTTTTATTAGGTTGTACCTTAGTCAACTTTTTTTACCCTATTTCCCACATAGGGTAGCTAGAATTGCTTCAAAAATCACTGAATTTATACTATCGTCACAGGCTACTAACCGAACTTCATTATGCTTCACAGTACTCACTCAACTTTTCCATTTACATTTCCATCTACTACTGTCAAAAAATCCGTTTGTTAGGCTCTGACGTGACAGACGGAATTCCTAGGTAGCGTCTGACAGCCGTTAAAAAATTACAAATCAGCAAAATCAATGTTTCATCACTCATCCAACTCACACTATGTCACAATTTACTTATTGAACTTCAAAATACTTCTCAATGGTTACTCATCTTTAAGAATTGCACTTCATCCATTATTCGTCATATTTTATTCACTTCGCTGCTAATTTATTGTCCGAAAATGTCACGGGTAATTAAAATCATCAAAAAAATTATAACTCAACCAAACTATCAACACATGGAAATCACCATATGATC